CGATACAAGAGGTGTATTAAAACCTGAAACGTTGGCCTGCGGAGCGCCAACAATTATTTACTTAATGTGCTGGTGTTCCGAAGTTCGGGGTGTCCCCATAATTTGCCATCATTTCATCACCTAGTTACATTAAAGAGTTGCGTTTGATTCTAATTTTAGCACTTAGTCTAGAATTCAATGTATTTTTTAAATTAACCTTTTTATTTTTCCATTTGATGGATTTAATTCACCGTTTATTGCAAAAGGCATGATTTATGTACTGAGGTACCCCTGAACTCAGTCAATTGTGATTGGGCAATATGCATCCGTTTCAGGATTCCAACCAACCAAAACCAGGGATGGACATTTGGACGGGGCATTAAATGTTCCAAGAGAACGGCTGTTTGTGTCGGAAAACCGATCTTGACGGTTGACAGTTTCAGAAGAGATGGAGGACCTAGGTCACCTGTTTGGCGTGCAATAAAAAAGCTTGAGACTGATTTCATTCAAGCTTCAGCTTGTGCAGAATTTAAAACAATGTTAAAATCATAAATTAAAAATACGTGAAGAAACGTAAAGGAAACATGAAGATGACTACAATGGGGGCCCTTTTTCCTTCAGTGATGAGGCCACATTCCCGACTAATGACAAAGTCTGCAGGCAAAGGCTTTGACATGAAGCTAAGAAAATCCACATGTCACAAATGAACATGAACGGGACTCATTAAAAATGGTTGTGTCCTACGCCATTTCAAAGAGCCCCATGCATGGTTCATTTTTCTTCGGGGGAACCGTGACCGGTGGCGACTGCCTGGAGGCTCTTTATATCTAACCACTTGACTAACCTGAGTCAAATTGGCATACCAACTTCATTTTCTAAAAGGAAATTAGGAACTCACAGTGGAAACTGCGAGGAAGACATTTCGGACATGCTGGTATTGGAGACAACGTGCCGTTGAAATGACCTTCACTCCCACCTGACTTGACACTGTCTGGTTTCCTTCTGTGGGATTGTGTGGAAGGACTGGTTAATGTCCCACCACTTCATGCAGATTTAGAAGGGCTCAAGGAGAGAACCACTGAGGTTTTAAAGACGGCTTCCCAAGACATGCTGCAATGAGTGTGGCAGGAACTCGACTACCGACTTGGTGTGTTACATGTCACAAGCGGTAGAATTTAAGAATGCCATTCCAAATATTTTTTTCCTAGAATTCTTCCAATGAATTATAATATGTTACATTTGGAATTAACCCTTTTAATGTTTCTTTTTTTTACAAGATATATTCACTCACACATGAATATCTCATATGACGTCAGGCTTTCAAGGGAATCCCATTTTATTTGTCAACCTGTCAGTCACCGGAGCCAGCCGCAGTCACATTAAAATTAGCTACAGACACTCACAACCTTTAACTTTGGGATACAAATGTGGCATTATATTGGCCCATTTATTCCCATCTAAACTAATTTAACTCCATTTTTTCATGCTGGAAGGTGGTAATTTAATTTACAGAACCATATCAAAGTACCCGTTATTAAGTCTACGCTTAGCGGTTAGCACTCACACGGACCAAGATCGCCGAGGCATGTATATACAAGCGGCCCATTCTGTCATTTGTCACTGATAATCTGTTATTGTCCTCCGTGAGCGAGATCCCATCCCCTGTATTCAGTTCAATAAACAATTTTAACGAACTTAAACAGCAAGTGAATTGAACATATTTTCACAATCGCCTCAAAAGTTGTATGAGAATTCAAGTCAAATTTGTCGTTCATTTCTGCTTAAGTCGATTGAGAAAATTTGAACAAATTTTTTTTATCGTAGTTCTGTACAGGAGGACCGACAAGTGCCCTGGCTACCATGTAGTTTTGCACAAATCGTTTCTGAAAATTTTTTCACAACTTAAAGGCCGGTTTCTGCCTTGAAGAGCGCACAGTGATCGGTAGCATCCAGAGCCTTTCCGTCTCAAATCTGCACAAGTACGCAAGGCGATTTACATTTTTGTCCGCCCCATATTGTACTGAAGAATGGAAATGACTTATAAGCTCACAATATGATTTTGGACCGCCATTATCATTCTGAATCTCAGAATTTTCACAAATTCTAACTGACTTATCTCCGTAATCTCCAGCTGAAACCACTGACTTTCAAAATCAAGTGGACGAATTGGCATTTGCAAGCCAATAAGCGAGTGCTCTGACTAAAGGGGAGTGTTGAACTCAACCTTGCTATCTAATTTCTAGTTCTTGCGTATAGACAACACGATTAAGTCAACAAGGACAAAATCAACTCGGAACTTTATTAAAACCCTAAGGATATTATCCTAAACAGGAAAAAAAATTAAGTAAAACTACGTGAAAACATCAAGTAAATTTGGTAACTCATGAGGCACTATCCGTCGAGTGAATGAATTCCAGGTAGTGTTACAACAAGAACCAAAACAGCAACAAAAAGGGGTGGACAGAAATGACGTGGCAAACGTCATCGGCACTGATTCTGTGCAGCCCCACTAAGAACAACCTTGATTGTAGAGAGCGGTTAGGTAGCGCGGAAGGTCGCACTGCCTAATTCATCCCGGTTACTGTGCGCTGGCTTCACCCTCGATTCCACGAAGTGTTTCTCTTAACTGGAGGGGACGATTAAGTGACAGAAGCCAGAGGTGGTCAAGAGGAAGGGCTCTGGGCTCCACAATGTCAGGCACACACATTGGTCGGCTGGTTCATTGAAAGTGACGTTGTGGCTTGAGTGAGACACTTGACTGCTGCTACCACGCGGTTCGGACCTGCACTCGCAGAATATCTTACCAAAAGCGCCTACATCGGTTTTTGCCAGCGAGTCTATGGAATCTATCACCTACGGGAAGAAAGAAGAAGGTCATTCGACATACCAACACTTGACAAGTCATTTAAAACTAGGCAAGTTTGAAATTCTGAGAAATCACTGGTAGGTGTTACATCCAACCGTTTTACTGAGCATAATATCTCCATCTAGCGAGAATTGTGAAACCAACAATTGGTTTTAGATAAAATGCTTATTAGCATTTGTGTAAGTGGAATTTTTGGCATCATACGGTCTTTTCCATGCTAGGCATTCTACTAACTAATATTTATGAAATTTCAGTCGTTGAAAGCCTAAACTAGGGTTTGAATGGCGTAGTCCATTTAGCGGAATTGACTCGCAGGAGATGAGTGTCACTAGCTGGTTCCCGCGGTTTAGTTCTAACAGAGGGCCTTTGATAAACCTCGAAAACGCGGAATCTTTGTGTGAAATTGTAAACCTCTCGACATCTTTCTCATCTCAAGCCTAAGCGCGCACACGCTTCTGTGGTGCCAGCACAAGAAGATTGACAAGTGTTCTGCGCTGGTGCAATAAAAAGTCACAGGACATTTTCTTGGTTATAGCGGTTTGCTGAGTTTTTAAATTCTATTAATCTTTGGGTGTCGCAGAAACGGCATCATTTCAAAACCGCTGCTTATTTTCACAATAGTAAATACCTATCCCCTGCTTACAGGTACCATGATGCAAGCGTCTCACCAGGTATTCTTCGAGTTTTATTAATCCTGTTCTTAACACTTAGAGTAAATCGCCATTTTCAGATAGCACATACGTGAATTGGCTAATCAAAACGAAACTTTAGAAAACCGGAGTTCATGATAGTGTGGTAAGCTGAAAACTGATTATTGAATCAACAGCTTCTACGTGCCTTTAAAGAGTAACACTTTCTGCATTGTGATTCACCGTTTCAGCCCTGTTCTCATAGTCCTGTACTGACAAACGCTGGGCCTCATTTGGCACTCAGCATCGCCGACTCCAGAGGGCAGAGCTCATCGCCAAATCCGATGACGGATTTTCCTCACCATCACTGTTGATAAACATCAGTATCGCCAATATACACTTCTCCCATAATTAATCCAATCGCTTTTGTGTCATCATTAAATAGCCTGTCTTACTGGATTTGCTTGAACTCGGGGATGTAATTTACCATCGCTAAAATTATTACAGGTGCCTCATTGCCCTACAGTGGCCTATTTTTAGCGAACAGATTAAGAATTCGGGGTTACGTGAAATGAAAACTAGCACCTCGGCTTTTGGAATGCTTCGCTTCACGGATGCACAAGCGCCTTGACAATCTTAAGAAAGTCAAAGAGGAAGAGTCTCATTTAAATAAACCACGAGAGTCCAATAATTGTCCGAAGACGAATCCGTTCCTTTAGCACCACGCATGAGAAACAAGTTAGAGGGGATTGCTCCCGATCATCAAGAATACGAAAAGGCCGAAGCATCAGTGGTATGCTGAATGGTGTGCGAATTTTAAAGCATTAATGGCCTGAAAATAAATGTCAAATTATTTGAAATATTCTGAAGAAGAAAGGAACAAATAAAGTAAAGTGGTGAAAAAAACACGGAAAGTGTGGCATCGGTTTGATGGTTTCAGTAATAAAAAGACTATAGATTAAAAAGAGTACGTCTTTGTTCCGAAATTTCATAATGGACAAGGCTTTTCGAAATTTCTGCTATCCTTCGTACTTACAGTTTAATCTGGAATGACTTATAGGCCGCACCTAGGAGGATGTGACTCAAAGCATCCACCTCCTGAGTCTGCATCGACTATCAGAGGCACCGATCCACCATTTCCGACACGACCTATCAGCGATCTCTACAATTGTCTCAGTCAACATCACCTTCACTGAATCCCGTTCCACGAACACAAGGGTGTGTTAAATTCTCCTTAAATTCTCCAGCCAACAGCTGGCTTTAGAATCCGTCGTAATCAGCACTCGAGACTGCTTCCATTCTGTGCTCTACCCTTCTTGTAGACCACCTGTGATGAAGAACCCGATTATCGTTAGCAGTCAGGATTTGCTTGTAAAAAGACACACTACCACCTCCATTGTGTTCAACAGGCTAAACATTGCTTACAGATGTCTAACTGCTGCTGCTGCCGCTGCTGCTGCTGCTGTTACTCATGCACCCGCATGAGTCGCCTAGACTGTCATCTGGTGAAAGAAGTTTGAGGCGCGATGCTGCGATGGAGTGTTCGGTGGAGGACAGAGACTCGACTCTCTGTCGGCACAACACTCGCTCAACGCTGTGCACTGGGTCTCGGACGAGGAGCATTGCCATCGGGCACAACCCCGAGCCCTCTGAAGTCGCATCAGCGCATGGTGTTCGCTGTAAGCACGAATCGCCAGTGATCAGCCACGGGTTTTTGTGTGGCAGCTTTAAATGAGCTGACTGAGGGCGCTAACGTGTGTAGAGCGCTGACCTGGAATGGCAGGCGTTGGTAGGATGGCAGAATGAAATGAGGCTTTTATCTTCTTGGGCACAACTTGGCTTCTTTCCTTGGTATCTACTCACTCCGTTAACGTCTTTTTAGTTTCATTTTAATGCTAATGGTGCGCAGTCTGTTGGTGTTTGCATCCGGGGTAATATTTCTAATCAGTTAAATAGTCATAACTAGTGACTTCGGTGGTTATTTGTTTGGTGAAATGTCACGTTCGATAACTGGTGCTAGATTAATTTTTTACATGTTTGAAATCAAAGTTCTCAATACAGTTTTGAAGTTTTAGCCTGAGGTTTAATGTCGGTCTCTCAAGATTGCACAATTTCGACAGAAATTTTAATTCAACGTCGACATGATTCGTCAGAATAAATAACTCTGAGGTTTGGCAAGTCAGATAAGGTCCTTAATTTATATTTTTATTATTCTCCTCAATTCATCTGACTTAGTTCATAGTCAAAAGTTTGCTGTGAAACGCTCAAACACTGACTTTATTGGCTCGAGGTATTTTGCTAATTTGAGAGAGGTAACAAGACTCTGCAGTTTAGTTGACTTCAGAGGTGGCCCGGCATTAAACATGTGATTCCACACAATTATCAGACACCAGGCTGTCGCCTGAGGCTTGAACGCGTGCCACAAATCTGGCGAGGAGTCACTGGTTGCGTTTAAGTGATCTCATTTTAATTGGAGATTCTAGCCTATTTAAAAGTTCCAGTTTAACTGAGTTACGTGAGCCCACATTGGTGTTTACAAAACAGAAAGCCAGCGTATGGCTAATTTTGGACGTGTCATCCCTTCTTGACAAATGAATGATGACAACCGCCCCATACGGAGCGGCATTTGTTTGCTTTATCCCAGGTGGTGGTCTCCAGCAGGTGCACACACGTAAGAGGCGGGAGGGGGGGTGACAGACACGGTTGTTGGGGTGCTGGTCTAGCCCGCCTCACCTCCCCTGCCCGTTGTGCTGGCTTATCACGTGACCGAAAACTATGGGTTCATGACTTCGCCTCACAGTTGACCATGCCTCAAGTTCGTGGGGAGTCTTTGCAATCGGACCATCAGTCTTACGTCCAGTAGCCAACTGAAATGGTTGTCAGTTTGTTTGGCAGGCCTAACATCTGCCTTTACTTAACAATGTAATTTAGCCAAATGCAAAAGATTATTTGCCACATGGTTTTGATTGTGAGAAAATATCGTGGCGCGTGTGCGATGCATTGTTGTGGTCACTTTTAGCTCGCTCGCATATTAAGATCTCACGGCAGAGCTTGAGCCGTAAAAAATACTCACACAGAGTGTTTGAGTTGCTGCAAATGAACCCCTTTACCTCACGAGCAAGCGGTAATTTTGTGGTTCATGCATACAAGTTTTCAAACACAGCGTATCTTCCGTCTGAGTACGTATTTTACTGCATTTCCTGTACACTTCCAAAAGACATAACGAAAGTCACTTGTTATTTGTGTCAGTTCCAGAAGCAGATGATTTCACATCGTTGAGTCTTCCAAGTAGGTGTACTGCGACGGACAGCTTCAACAAAAGCCGCCTCTGCGCGAGCACCTCTCAATGAAAAATGTCACTTATTGCACGGCTTTTTCCAATGAATTGAGAAGTGCAAACATGGCACAAGGGACGCAATGGGGTCTGTGGGATCTCACAGGCAGGACCCTTCATACCAGTTGAACCCCACAAAGCTTCCTGTTTTGGGGTCTATTCGCATGTCCGAAAGGTTTGGAGATACCCTAACCTTTCGAGACAGCGCTTGGCTGTCGCAACCGATGGCAATGGTGTTTTCAGCTGAGTCAACCGACCAACATTATGCCGTGATTTATTCACAAGACTCTTGAGAGCAAACATCCACCAATTCGGGCCCATTGGAATTCCATTCAATGGGAATGAATAGAGAATTCTAGGCATAATGTGATTTTTTCATGATATTCCCCAAAGTTTTGTTATCGGCACTGTCCTACTGATCGACCTGACAATACAGAAGAAAGCGTAAGGCTGCTAGTGGACGTTTTTAGTATTGACTGCTGTGACTTGCGTTGAGTTTTCTATGCTTGTATACTCATCCATCACTAGTAAACTCTTGAATTGTACGTTGATTTTGCTTAAAATAGAGCATTCATTATATCACTATCCACATCCCTACCCATTGTCTTGCATAAACTTCTAGCAAAACTTTCTACAGTCCCATTTTCGCAGGAAAACACCCGGAACTGATCGGTTCAAGCCACCCTATCATCCACGGGCCATGACCAAGGTGTGCATCACTGGCCCCAACGGGGTGCTGTCAGGCTTAAATAAATAAACGGTGGAGATATTTGGGTTCCACCCCCTACACAGTGGGATGAGGATGGAGAGGCTGCAGCTGTTCCCTCTACACCAGCGGAGACTAATTATCATCCTGGTTTGTGCACTTTGAAGAGTTGTTTCGAGGCGAAACTTCCGTCCTCCATCGATGACGCAACCCCACACGGTCATCCTGGCTCGAATGTCAAGGCTGACAAAATAGATTCTGGATCCAACGTGTGGTTTTATTGGCAGACTTGGAAGAGGCTACCGTCAAGGCCTTAGTGTCTACGAGTTTTGACAGAGGTGGACACTGGTAAATACTACATGCAGCTACCGCTTATGCCATCTATGCACTGGCTGCGCCAAAGCTGAGACCTGAAAACGCATGCCGCTATTATTTGTATAATTAGTGGTTTGTAATACATAGACTCGTTTGCACATTATAATTGTTATCTATAAGAGGATCACAGTATAGTTACATTTGGCCTGAAATGAAAGTGTCAAGGTTTTCTGGTAGCTGCCAGAAGTTCATGGGCCGGGTCGCTTTACAGCACAGTCTGGGGGGACCGTGTTGAACAGTTAGACGGATACTCAAATAAACGGAGAAGCTTAAGAAAACAAACATCGCACAATTCATTGTAACAACAAGAAGTACATGATTTTGCGGTGGCTACAGGAATGCAGGAAACCCGATAGGAGTCCACGTGCAGGCTATGTAAACTCCTAAATCTGGAACAGTGACGCCGGTAGTTTTGGTGAATGCCACGTTGCCCGAATAACAATGGGAGGGATATAGCGGAGGTGAGTCTCACCACGTCCTTTAACTTAACACAAAAATCAGCATCAATAACCTTATAGGCCTCTACTTTCCCAGATAAAAAGGTTGTTTTGAAGGGTAGCAGACTAATTCTTTCCTAGATTATTTGGTGGAAAGCAAGTCGATTACAGACTGACGGTGAACCAGCGTGAAGTCCCAGGGACATATCCTTGGAAACGCTCTTGCGGTTCTTCTCTTTCAGTGATTTGAAGTAGGATTCAGGTGTCCAGTAATTTGTGCAAGTCTTATGCCTTTATTACACATCGAGTGAATACAAATGTCTAATTCCACATGTAACGTGTTCTAAGTTAAAAAATCGAAATGTGTTATATTTGCAACAAAAACTGATGACTGTGTCACAATTTTTTTAAGGGGAGGACACGTCTTAGAAGGCGTCCTTCTGGTTACTACATTCCCAGAATTGAAGACACCGCTTTACTGTGATAGTGGTTGATTCTGGATCTACGCGCTTTGCTCTAGTTAAAAACTGAAAAGCAGCAGCCTGAACATCAAGAGGGCGGTGTAGCCATGTGTGACCAATAAGGAATGGACAATGAAAGTGAGTGCAATTGGCAAATGCATCTAATTAATTTGAGACAACTTATTTTTGGTGAGGACTTTCTACCATTCATCATGATCCTGGCTTGCATTCAAGGAGGAACTTGATTGCCCAGAACGGTTGAAGTAGCGTTTGTGGCACTGTCGACATATCCCGCATAATGGAAGTCCGTTGTTGTGTCAGCTACACCTTGGCATTATGCAATCTGGTTCTAAGTCCATTTATTAATAATTCTAAATCTTAAAATTATATGCAATGCGAAAACTAAAAGATTTATAGCAATAACCATCTTAACGGATTACTTTTTCTCACCAAGTTTGACAAATTTCTTCTAGCAACTAGAAGGTTATCTTAAGTCTTTCAAATAGAGAAAAGTAACAAGGTTTGAAATATTCGAAACTGAAGGTTGCACACATTTTCAAATTACAAGCATCTTCAATCACTCCTACTCCTCCAATTTTATCTTACAATTTATTGTATTCGATTACTTTGGGCTTGATTTAATGTAAAAAAAATTCGATTCTGTTTGGGCTCCATTCAAGTATCGACATTAAGTGATCACGATCTAAGCAGCTTTATGGCATTTCATTTAAAACGAATCGGTTGATTGGCTTTGCCTGAATGCTTTCACTTCGCTATTGGCTGCCGCGAAATCTTCCGAGCGTGCGCACATTGGCTCGCAAGGCATGCTAGCACGAACGCGCGCACTAACGAGACCAAAGTGTGTATCGCACCTTCGCACCATCACAAGCGCGCACGCAGACCTGTTTGTTATCTCGCTCTACCAGTCTCTCTCACTAACCCCCCTGCCTCTCTCCCCCGTCGTGTGGAAGGGGCGACACGCATGCACACGTACACACACTCGTACGAGTGACACGCGCCTACTTTCATTTGCACAATTATAAGGAGAGCGTGCGTGCGCTCTTTATATGTCGTCGGTTCTCACTCTAATGTCCGCCGCCGCAGTAACTGTGAGCCAACAACACCAGTCCTCAAAAAACATGCTGCCTCAGTGGCACAACCACATTGAAAGAACTACAACCCCTCCAGCACAGCAGCCGCAACAACCGACACTGACGACCACCTCGTCGGTTAAACTCGAGGCCCCGTCCCTATCCTCATCAACTCACAGTAGTGGACATATTTCTCCCCACGCCAACAGTTCCACCGGTCAGTCACGTTCTGGCGTCCCACCATTGGATATGCTGAATATTTTTCGAAGTCTTCAGGATAGACCAGTGGCCGCTGATCAACTGCATTACGCAACGGCAATCGCCGCGGTGCTGGCATCAGTGGCCTCCAATGGGCTACCCAGATCAGGCAGTATCGATCCACCGGTGGAGTTTGCTGGAGGATCCTCCAGAGATCCCCCACCACGAGAGCTCAGATCACCAACGCCTGTTCCACCTCCCCATCTCCCGCCACCCCCACCTCCGTATTTTCGGATGAACACAGAGTTGAATGCCTTTATGAAGCGGGTTCAAGATGAGGAAGCGGAGATAAGAAAGCGCGACTGTCCTAAAGCCGAACTTGCCGAGCCAGAGTTGTGGAAAGCATTCCATAAAATGACCACCGAGATGGTGATAACAAAGTCTGGTCGGTGAGTATTACCTCCTTTATTTATTAAATTGGTGTGGATCTGGGGAATGTAAAAGCCTCGCATTCCATGCTGGATACCACTGAAACTAGTAAATCCTTTAACCAAACAATAGCCAAATATCGAAAACCATGATAATTGTGGGAGTTTAACAAATCACTGAATGCCGTATGAAACTGTAGAGTTTGAGTCATATCTGAAATTCACTTTGGACTGTTGGAACTCCCAGTAATTAGTCATTTAAGTCCTTGCTATTTAATACGGACAGGCAATAAGTGGAAATAGAGCTATCTCTTGGTTGGTATATACAGCCTGCTCTACGTATAACAGTGGAAAACAGGTTTCAAATAATCACGTCTCAGTAATAGAGGTTGGAAATTTACCGCTTGTAGTTAAAGTAGCGCGAATGGAGGTGGGGGTTCAAAGTGTCTCGTCAAAAACGGCGCCGTAGGGGTGGATTATTCTTGGTTAACAGAGAATAAAGAACCATGTAATTATCAAGGTAGCTGGGGCCAGGAAAACCATAACATATCGACTGTCGCTGATAGCTCACAGAATGGACGTTTTACGGAATATCAATTAGCTTAAACTAGACAACCGGGAGGATAATTGGCACTCGACTGTTTGAAAGGCAACCGTATTGTTACCATTAATTTAGGCAGATAGGATTGTCAGTTTGATGCCAGATGTTTTGTGTAGCATATGCTAATTGAATTAAACAAATGCAAAATTATGCCTAATTATCACCACCCACTTAACTTGCGGTCAATCAACTTCACTCACATATCGATTTGTTGCTGTGATTCATCGGTTTTCAGCAACAAATCAGCATTTTTACACTCATGCGAACTTCAGACCCCAAAATTCTCCTCGAATTACAAAGTCTCATTGTCTGAATTCTTACAAATTTTTTAATTGGAAGAAACACAATTGTGTTCTCAATGGTGACTAGTTTTAGAATTCTAATGTCATGGTTGCCTTCTTTTGCTTGTCTCCTTAAATTACACGCCTTGAATGATCCACACAGTCAAAATTCGATTCCCTTTTTCTCCATACCAGCATAAACCTTAGTCGCCCGTGATTAATCATAACTCCTGACTTAAATGCATGAATGAAGCGACATGGTTAGAACGCAACCAAGCTCAATTGGAGGTTTGAGGTAAAAAAATATTTCCTGATATTGACTATGGCTTTCTAATATGGTCACAAAATTTGTGTTCCTGCTTTGCGAAAATGCTGCTTGTTATGTGCAAAAAATCGCTACTACCAACCGACTGAAATCTTAACCTGTGGAGTTTTCTCCCTTCATCTAGTTTCTAGTAATCTTGAGCTTGAGGCAAAGTTAGTGAATTTGAGTCTGCATTGCGAAATCGCATCCTTCTGATGCTGTATTTCATGATGTGTTGAATGATCAGGCGTTAAGTATTACAATGATTACTGACTGGATCTTGCAACACTTCTTTCTGGCTAATGAAAATGGCTCGCTTAAATAGGATCCTTAGATGCCCAATGATGTCAGCCCAGTTCATTTGTTTCAGTTTGTGTTGCCGGCTCTAAATTAAAAAGGGGTGTTTGAACTGCTAAGTACAATGTTTGCACAAATGATGGCGTCATGGTTCGCTGAAGTTCTGTGCACTGTCAGCGCTATACCTTGTCTTCGAAGCCACACAATTACCGGCAGGGAGGGAGTGAAATGGGCTCCAGATGGACCACCCAAGCGGAAGAATAACACTGAATGCGCAGTTATCGCGTGTGACGAATGCCCCCTCCAGCCGGGACCTTTGAACAGGCTTTAACGCCACCACAACCCTAAATAATCACCATTTCAAATGCGTTACCGAAGGCTGATAAATTTAACACACACGAACACGCACACTCTGGCGCGGCCCTGGCCGAGAAGAGATCCACCGCATTTGATTTACTACCCTCGCAGAACCACCGCTGTCAATTAGATGATCGCACCTCTGGTGCGACAGAACCGCCAGTTGGTGATTTACTACACGTGCAAAGGAGTGAAGTGGCCACACAATTGAGAGCCATTATTTGCGCGCACTCTGCACTCTGCACACACAAGCTCTCACCTGCGGAGAAAACGGCCAGGTTCCAGAACTTCACTCCGTATCGGTAATAAACGTTGCTATTTCGTAATCAATTTCCGAATACCTTTAAGTCGGAAAGACACTCTAGAACTTTTAAATCGGCTTACTTTACTGTGCTTACAAATTGCATTTTCGAACTACTGTAATCTTGTGTGATGGTTTGTTGGCAGTGTGGTTGCAGTTAAATGTGTGGCCTAGCTAAATGCCTATTTTAAATCAAAACCCGACCAAAATTTGAGGAAACAAGTTTCTGCTTGGATCAAGCCAGGGTCCGCATTGTCTCTAAACTTTAACTTTCGTCTTGATTAAGTGGCAAGTGTGCTTCATCTTATGATCAATGAAATCAGAAGAAGATTGCATAGAGACTAAATTTGGACGATTGGATCGCAATTCACTAGGCCTTAGTAGCCCTTGTGCCTGAAACTGTAACGACATTCCAATTAGAACTCGAATAGGCTGACCGAAACAAAGTGTATAGTGTGTGATCAAATAATAGAGAGTCGAGAAGTATTTCAGATTTTTAGTTCCTTTTTTTACAACGTTTGACATTATGGCGATATCGATTTTTACCTGTTACGGCTGTCTTAGGTAACAGAAACGAGGAAAAATAACTAACGAATCAAAAGGAAGAAGGCTAAGCTAGTAAACGAAGCGATTGAAAATGTACTCACTTAACACTTCAGTTCATGGAAATGGTGTGGATGAAGGTACGAACTGACCAATCGAGTTTACTGAGAACTGTCAGTCGGTTTTGAACTAGAAATCGATCTAGCCTAGAACACAATCGAGTATGCTGAGAATATGGTTAAAAGAGGGAGGTTTTTATTTGAAGTTTTGGTTTTCACTGGTGTGCAAAAATAAGTGTTGAGGCGTCGTCTCAGGTTTGGAGAAATTGAAACTCAGGGGAAATTTGCAGTTTCGTTCTCTGTTTGCACTCTGCTTCTGCTTTTGTTAAAATTGGTGCCTATTTTAAAAAAACTGCGAGTTTTGGCTCTGAACATTGCCTTAATTTGTGCCAAGGGTCCAGTGAGGGGTTTTTTTAACAGCATAATTGTAACAAGAAATTAGAGTACAGTTACTGGAAAGGCAAAGGTGCTGTAATGCCTGATATTGTCCCAAAGGGAAATTGCCAATTAAACCTAACACTCACGCGGAAAAATTTCACCGATGGTGTTACTATTTTTCGAGGTAGGTTAAGGACGGAAAATAAAAATCGCGGAAGCTCGATATCGTAAATTGGAGACGCATGCAAATTAACCCAGACTCTTAAATTGCACAAGTTTTTTCTGCGCATCCGTTTAGGCGAATGTTTCCAGCATACAAGATAAACGTGACCGGGCTCGATCCGAGGGCGAAGTACGTGATGATGATGGACATTGTGCCACGGGACCAGAACCGTTATAAGTTCCACAACAACGGATGGGCCGTTGCAGGGAAGGCCGACCCCGAGCCAACAAAGCGTCCCTACATCCACCCCGACTCACCGGCCACGGGGGAACAGTGGATGCAGAAGCCCATCTCCTTCCACAAACTCAAACTCACCAACAACATCGCTGAGCGGCAACCCTTTGTGAGTTATAACTGCTTTCTGTGTCCATTCATTACACATGGTATATCTTAAATTGTACTGACGCAGGCTTTATTTAGCACTGTACAGGAAGTTGTTGTAGGTACATTGGCCATATCGATGGCGTGGTGATCAGGCTATATTATTCAGTGCACTAGTCAACATAGCATTGCGCAATGCAGCCTATACAAGCATACGATTCACTTAGTGTCTACAATGTACAACAATGTTAACCAATCGGGCACTGTACATTAAATATCTTTATAGGCCTTGCACATCTCTACTTGGAGACGTGAATTGTAAAATGTTGGGTCGCTAAGACTAGAATTTTCACAAACACATGGCCGCTATACTTGAATATGATACGTAGCAAATCAACACACGCGAACAGATAAGAAGTCGCATTTATTTAAAATAACTGGTCCACCAAAGAGGTAAGGAATTCCGAAATTTGGCAATATGTACGAGTTAGATATTAGTTCAAGAGTGAAATTTTTCAACCTCTCCCATCCACAACCTCACCCCTAGCGCATGGTTAAGCAAAGTAAACCACACAGGTAGAAAGATAATTCCCAGAGCAGTCAATTTTCGTGGTTCACCCTTGACCTTGATAACGGCCCTCAACTGCAAAAACGGCTGGCTTTTGACACTTCCATTGAAGAGCCCGCCGCCGCTTTCGGCCGATGTGCATGCATGCACTGGTGATGCCTAACCGCGTTATTATCATGCAATATTGTCCACCCCATGTAGTGAACATACCTGTCCATACTTGAATCGCGAACACACAATCGGCTTGTGCGATATGCACAACATGAAGCTTGCTTGCCTGTTTGGAGAAAGGCCTGCATCCGTAACATTTGAAATGACCACATAATCTACATACGTATGTTTAACAGTCATAATACCCGATGCTCTGGCTAAGGCTAATCTTGATAATGGGATCAATCTACCCGGTAGCCACTACCAGTCCACTTCCGTGCCTACTCAATTATGTGGGGTGTTAGTATGTTGTCCTTGATCACAACAACTCCACTCGGCTTTTAGGGTATTAACGAGTTGAACACGAAACAGGTTTTTCAGGTGGGGGTATTGTATACCAACAGCCCACGCACGCACAAGTGACATCCTTTTCCACCTTTTCGTCCTGCCTGTTATTATACCGACGTCATCGTTAGACCGTGTTTGAGCATTTATAGCCGAGGCACCAACCGCAAGGCTGTCAGCACTGCAAGGCACACACACACAGATACTGATGAATAATTGCGCTTATCACCCCGCTGGTAGGTGTGAAGGCGCGATTGTTTTGAAAATAACAGGAGCACAAAAACCGCCAGTGACAGCCAGTAACCGGTGCTGACGACGGCTAATTGATTAAGACGCACGTGTTTGTGTGCAGGCTGCATGAATATAAGCATATTGTTAAGGCACTTTCTAAAGGAATGCATGAACGGATTTATTTTACACACGTGTCGAATGCCCAGCCTATGCCATAAGTTGGCTTTCCTGGAGCGAAACGAGCTCGGCTAGGACGTCCAAAAACTCCCGTACCTCACTGGGTCGCGAGAATACCGAGGATCTGTCACACGATCCGTCCAAAAGTGGTCGGCGGTAGCAAGTGGAATAGCGTTTTATTAACTCAATAATAACCACCTGGAAACACCATATTTGTCTAGGTGCAAAGGTAAGTTATGAAGATCAATCAGAATTCTGGTCTAGAAGAACAGGAGGGGATTTTATTGACGGAAATTAACAAGTTCGCAGAATTAAGGCAAGATTTCTGTGGTCAGTTGCCTCGAGTTTCATCGTGTTTCGGGCCAAGCATAAATCTCGCTGATGCGGAATATGGCAGTTTACTCTATGTGATGTTAATAATATCTAGCTAGCTGAGGTTATTGAATAACACTGGTGAGCATCGCTAAAAATCTCCTGCAAGTTGCAATTTTAACAGGAGGAGTAACACATGCGTAATTAAACTGCTTACATCAGCGAGGACCTAAATATTAAAAGAGGCACAGGAATTTGTATGAACATTAACTAATCAGGAGTTTGAGTGCATGTACCATCGATTTTATAATTTAGGAGAATCTGATTTACAAAAACGTGAATCTACGATGGGGAATGCTTTGTTATAAAAGTTGAAGACTTTCTCGCTGTGCTACCTCTGCATTCTATTGAGATTTAGGCTTAGTCTTCGTCAAACTTGTTTGGAATTGCAAATGCATGATAACATATACTGTTACGACATGATGAAATGGAGTTGCTTCAGGCTCATCTCATGGTACCTTCCTTGTTATCAAAAAGCAATTAAAAATATTCCACAAAAACAAGTCATTTTAAATCTTTGTCGGATTTCCTGGGGTGATAAAAAGTTTCCGAAATCCACGTCCCATTCATTAAAATAAAATCTGGGTTCATTCAGCAAGTCGTCGGCAATGACTCGCAGCACCTACCATTTTTGAACGATATTGGCTCCATCGTAAATGGATGAAAAATCCTTTGAGAGCTAAATACTCAAGTTCAATGCGATTCTACTATCCGATTTACCTACAAACAATTTGTATTAAACCCACATCTTTTTGCTACATGTAGCCTCATATATTTATTAATCCAGCTGCATTTAAGTAGTTACCAGAGTTGTTTGTTTGGGCTAGTCGGAACTAATCGTTGAATTCGCTTAGCTGAGGGTGATGTGGATGTCACATAAAGAGGGAGCTGTTTGTTGATAAAACCTAGACCTTTTGAATTCGTGGTCAGATTTAAAACTTAAATCCAAGTTAGTATGGCCACCAGATATCATGACACAGGGCTGCAAGTCATTTCAATAAATCCAGAATGCAATGTCAAAAACGTGCACAACAGACGTTTCACGACCGTTTTAGGCCGCACACCACCTATTAAGTCTTGCGACTATTTGCGTTTCAGCAAGCCGTGCTCAATTCAATGCACAAGTACATACCCCGCGTGCACATTGTTAGGGCAGACGACCTCATGAAGATAAATTTCTGCGAGTTCGTAACTTTCTCATTTGAGGAGTCGGAGTTTATCGCCGTAACTGCATACCAAAATGAGCAGGTCAGTGCGTTTCTCTTCCCACGTTCTATTTTTCCCTTCTTGCCTTTTTACTTTTTGTCGACGTGGGCGTTAGCCGACCATTTCTTTCCGCTACACTTAAAACAGACGACAACCTAGCCACTCTTGATTGATAGTAATGGCGTCTAAGCGGTGGGAGAATTTGCCAACACGGTGCCTTTGGGGTTGCCCCCATCGGCGTGTGAGGCCCGCCAGGTTTCGGGGGAGGTGGGAGGTCAACGAGATACGCCAGCACACTGTCTGACAGCCGTAACCACGTTTTGGTGGTCTCTTAAGTCAATAAAACCAAATCCTCCAAGTTCTTTGATTATCAACGACAATATTTCTACCTATTCATCCAATTGTAACTCCAAGCGGGATATTCCCTCCTTTATATACTGACGGTGGAGAAAATGAAGTGAATCGTTTTCGGATGCTATGAATAATAATGTTTGCACATTTATTTTGTTTGGTACAAAACGGGCATGCAAATAAAGAACCGAACTGCTACACGTGGAGAGGAGATCGTCCATGCGAATGCGAACAGTCGAGCGCTTGAACAAAGCTCATAAAAAATTTCGCTAAAAGGCACCAAACGATTTAGCAGAAGCCTCAAAAGTCATAACTTCAATAAACTGATCAAGTCCAAATATCTCTGGTATCTAAAGTTGGAGGCAACAACATAACGAGGCTTTTTCACCAGGAAACTCAGTTACCCATTGCCCACATGATTTGGGGAGTGACCCGGCCCTAAAGCTACTTTCACCCTGTCCAGAAGGTTATTTGCGAAACGAAATAGTTAATTGGATAGAGCTTAAATTATGACCGCATTAATTTCCGGGCCAACTTTGCCGTTTACTGTTGTAGATTACGCAACTGAAGATCGACCATAATCCATTCGCGAAGGGTTTCCGTGATAACGGGAGTGGAAGACGAGAAAAAAAGTGAGTTAGTTCGGCATTATGAATCTGTGTATTATTAATCTCAGGAGAATGAGCACACAAAAACTCATCGGGATGAGATTTGAGGTGCATTCTGAAAACAAATTAAAAGTACTTTAGGCTACTTGTTGTAACTTAGCTGATAATTATTTGTTGACGTACAAGGCCAGAAAGCTTAACCTGGGCCGACTCTTTATTATCTTTAATTAAAACTTAAACAGGAGTATAATCTGAGGTTCCTTAATGATGATTTTTCTCCTATTCAAGACGCCAACGACTTCAGCAAATGCCATTTCTTAATGCGGTCAACAGTGCAGCCACGGAGGACGTCGACGAAGACGCTAAATCAAATGAAGAAGAAAGAAAAACCGAGGACCCTCTCCTGTCAGTCCTTCGACAGCCTCCTTTTCCCCGCCCATTTTCCCGATTCCCTCCTCTTCCACCCATTTCGCTCTCACTTTTCCATTCAGCGAGGGGAGGTGGAGGGGGTTTTGGGGATGTGCGCTTGCGTTTACCTCCACTCGGTCCGTGTCTTCCCGCAGGGTGCCTCCTCGAATACCCCCTGGCAGAGCGCCTTTGGAGCGAGTTCGGAGAGCCAGAGAGGTTTATGGCCGTTGGCACAAATGCTGCTACTGACCGACGACAGGGTAGTCTAGCGGACCTTATCAGCCAGTCCATGAGAAGCCAAGAGAATCCACCAACCTTTCCACCACCTCCACGTGAGTATTTGGGTCTCTGAAATTGGAATTTGTACTGACAGTAATTATGAAGGCGAGTCAGAAGACCTCGCTTTCTATGAGCCTTTAAAACTGCCAAGTAGTAGTTAGTGATTTGCTTTAAGAGCATTTGAATTAGGTAAGCGCATCGATTGTGGCAAGGATAATACTTATTTAACGGTCAAATCGAATATGGCATTGAATCACCTCAACACCGAAGATGTCAAATAAATATGTAATAATTCAAATCACATGACACACAGCACCTTCCTGAATAGGAGGTAATTTGCCCCCAGTTTCATTGTTCTATGTTGTTGAAGCCCGACGGAAGAGGATAATTAGCTCTTTAACGCCTTTAATTATGGTCACAGACTAGATTCAGTTCATATGGGCCGTCACAGTGACGCTAAAGACGGCAAGAGGTCGAATATCTCCATAAATAAAAAAGTGAAAGTTGAGTTTATAATTAGGATTGCCTTTGCTATCAGCGAAGTTAAATGTCTGTGGTATCTGCCTTCCACAAGCAGACCCACTGGCACTTTCAGGGAAACAGTATTTGCGAAGTAGTATTAAGGGCATTTACAAATCCCACTTCCCGTTAAACGACACCACGTTACAAATGATAGCAAATTCTTCGTCAACTAGTATGCATGTAACACTTTGCGAAATAAGTCCTTGTGAATAAGTGACAACACGAAATGAACGGCAGTCAAGTCCTCGCTTAAATCATGAAATGCAGTAAGTGGTTTGTTCTTGAAACAACAGGAATCAGTCTTACCTTCCATTTTGCATTCGTAATGAGGTTATTCTATTCCACTATAAATGCTATGTTACGCAAGCAGAGATGATGATTTGAAGAGTCTGGTAACTGCACCGAGAACCAATTTACTCGTGGTGCACTATGAATAGGTGGAACATTTTCTGGGCAGATGAGTGAAAAGTCCCTAATGGCAGCACAAGCACCCTTTCCAGGCATCTGTAAGCCGGGGCGTGTCGGCTGTGCTAGTTCAACCGTTCCGGCTGATTGGAACGACATATTAAATTCTCTGAAGTGATGGCATGCTAATAAAACCTTTCTACTCTCTCCTTCCCAAAAAAATGTTTCTGATAAATGTTACTATGTAGTGGGAGAGAGAAATAGGGGAGAGGTGCATCTCTGTGAAAAGGCAGGAGTCGTAAAGGCAAGTGCGAAGTAGAGGAACATTAGTGCCGTTCAAGGTTCTACCACCACGCATGAGGGAATGCGACGTGCACAATTTGTCAGTCCACTTGCATGTGGAGCGCTAAAAAGTAGGGCATGAGGCTGAACAATAAGGCCGTGGGCGAGCGGACGTGCTGCTCAGGCTCTACCATCAACTCCCACTTAGCCTTTGTGAGGCACACGCGTGGACAGCGGTCCGCATTGGCATGGACGGGCCTCTTTGCGAATCGGCTGACAATACTCGTGTTTTCATGTACTGGCACGCTCTGAAAGGTGATGTTTCCTGTTCTAGCGAATGGTCTTCGTGGGAACTTCTCAATTACACAATGCATATAGTTCGCGATAATGCCCCCCCCCAACTGAGTTTAGCTAAAACGCACTTTTGTTTTGAGCAGCTATAAAACAGTCGCAGCAGGGAAAGAGACGAATCGTGAGAAAATAAGAGGTGGAGAATCAGTGCGAAAATTCAAGAATGTCTACTTCCAAACTGCTTTGACCTTAAGCCGAGATACAACAAAAACTAAAAGACAATACTCACTCGCTTCATGAATATTTTCCGAATCTTTTTCCATATTAAGCCCAGATAACAGAACATTAAACTATCATCAGGATTGGCCAACAAAAAATTTTCTGCCTACTTCTTCGTTAAATAGCCCAATCCAAATCTATGAGTTTTTCAAGTTATTACTCAAACCGCCTCTATCTAACACTGTCTCCACTTCGTGCATATTATTTAGACGAACTGGCATCAAAACTTGCCATAGGATGAATTAATGTTAAAATACAAGTTCAAATGGAAAAGTTACACCAGTGTGTTAAGCCATATTGACCAGTTTATGCGCTGAGCACTCCCGCGGCGTGTTTCAGGACTGGAAACCCTCGCTCAATTGGATAAGTCGCCTCCTACCACGTCGGTACTTCAGCAGCGACACACTGTCCACCACTGTCCAGCACACAGACCGGCTCCTCCTTCGTCTCCACTAAGGCCGGTCACCAACTCCAAGGAAATTGGCCATGGTGACTCACTGGATGCTCCATCTGCCTCCCCTCATTGGGTAAGATTAAGTATTTGAAGCGTCAGTCTTGATTTGAAGGCTTCCAAAAACACCCTTTTAGTCAATCAAGGAGCAACTGACTATCCTCATCGCCGATGATGTTGAGAGGGGAGACGACCTCGAATGAGTCCATAAAGTCTTAAATAATTTCCTGCTCTAATTTATGAATGTCGATGCTCACGTAAGGAGATTGTGCTCCATTTTTAAAGCTTCAAAGCCTCGGTTCGGTATAACCGACCTTAATAAAAAAAAACACAATAGTTAGAACCAGTTACCTCATTAAAACAGATGTCACATTTATGTGCGGCGTCATGTCAAATTCACGGAGATTTTACACAGTCATCTTTCAGTGAAAAAATTGAAAGCCATGAGTATTCGTCTGTGGTAAAAGCATATGGCATCTTCCGCGGAAAAAGAACGATGTGGGACAGTGTGAGGGCACCAGGCCGATTTAAATATCAATTGTGGCATAGTAAGTTTCGCCGTGGTAAAAAAGAAGGCGTCTGAGTCATTTGAATGAGCATATGGAGGATTGCAATGCGTGAATTTTCGCCCTCACGGAGACCCGCCAATATTAGAAAGTGACTGAACAATGAAAGCAAGCGAACCGTTTTGACAACTTGATTTTCGCGTTTTATGTGCCAATGTCGTCCTTATTTGATAAAGCATTTTGGAAACGCTTTAGAACGAGCAAAAGACGAATGCGATCATCTTCCAGTGTCACTGACTTCAACGTAGTTTGTTTTTTGTAAACTAAGGCAATAAACTACGAACACCATGCCGTAGTAAAGTTTCCTTTTGGTGGGCAGACTCACCTAGCTTCTACATTCAGATTCATTTTAGCTGGATCTGCAGCATTACTGGTGAATTAGATGGTTCCGGTTGCATTGCTGTTAAGTTTGGCTTTGTTACTGAAAATCTTTTTGGTGGGGTCTTAATTTGCTTCGAGAGAGTCACCTCACAAAGAAATCGTTTGTCGTTGACTTTGATCGTGTGATATTTCGGCTTTCAGAGTTTAAATTTGGACTTGAAAACTAGGAATAGATTAAATTTACAGAAGAATGACCTTCATTTGCCGATTCCATAAAAACAATTGGGTTGAGTTAATTATTGCACGTATTCGTACATCTTCAACAGTGTATTTAGTCAACTTGAAGCAGTACAGCTTCAAGTTGTGAACAATACAAACCGAGCTGATAAGAGGTCTGACACTTATTCAAACAGTGTGGTGCAGAAATTCGTGACCGGAGAAAACATGCCCAAAACTTGACTGAAATTTCTGGTACTGGGAGATGGCTTTGATGAGGTAAACAACGTACTATTTACTTTTGAGGACTTTTGATCAGATTCTAGAAATATGGCCCAGGTAAGGTGACGTTTTCCATGTCATCCGCAATGCCCTTGGCCATATTTCACGTGGCAATTAAGGGATGAAGGAGGGGTGGTCAGCGTTGTGTGTGTGTGTGTGAGCGAGCCTTATCTCCTCCCAGAGATCTCAGACTCTCCACCGAGAGACAAAAAGTTGCACCGTGGAATTGGCGCCGTCACTGCGAAAATAGGCACCCTAGGTGGGATGCTGGAGTTACTGATGCAGCAGCATCTCGTACGCGGAGGCGCCTACGGGGTCTAATTGGTCTAATTAAATCGCAAACTGCAGCTCTGAGCCCCTGTCCTCCAGCTCCACCTCCGCCCCGCCCGCCACCACACCGTAAACTATCACCAAAGTACGGGCAATGCAGAAGAGGCGTGGGCGACGCCCTTGTCTCAATTGCTTTTGGGGAAAATGTGTGTGTGTGCGTGTGTGATTGCTACTGGACTATGATTGCATTGTGCGATAAGGATAGGGCAGGTGGCGGATGCTTAAGAAAATCCCCTTATACTCTTTGGGTCGTAGCACAAAACGCTTCGCACTAGCTCCAAGGGTCTATTTCCCCGAAATCAAACAGCTTTTTTGAACTGGTGATACTGGGTGATTATCAGTATTGCATCCAACACGAATTGCTTCAAAAGCTATTGAGCGTTAGATTATTCATACTCTGTCTTTTCGATGCTTTAAAACTATGCCCCAGAGAGATACCTGAATCTTGATATTCTAATGCTTCAATAAAAAAAATTCTTAGAGAAGATAACGTTAAAATCAGTTTTGAGTACACGCTTTCAATGCTTAATAAATTAGTAAACATAAATCCCCATTTAGTACGTCGACCACACACTTGTGGTCACCACCATCAACCACGAGCTGCTTCTGCTATCTAAATAGCTTTGTGCACCTCGATTAGCTCTTCGGACGATCTTCTTAGATCCATGAATTTAATATTTCTGAAATACCAGAACTTTGGCATATTGCAGTTGATGTAAATGAAACATTCACAAGTCACTGCATGCAAATTTTTTTAATTCAGAATCAAGAAAAGACATTTATACATAGAGAAAAGACGGAGCAGTATCCAGGGTAAAATTTACCTAATTAAACGAGATACTAGGGACACCATTTCATGCTAGTTGGCCGGGGACAGTGAAACCCGCTTGAACATCAACATCAAGTAGGCCCACCGCCATTAGTTGCTCCACTCGCAGAAAATTTATGTCTGTCCGCATACAGGCACGATTTCACCGTTTATCATTCGGACAATCTACCTACCACTGTGAAGAGACAATACAAAGAGGGACCCCGTTTTCACGCTTGCAGGGCTCGCAGGTGAGTGCGTTTGCGACGGACCGGCCACACGATAGCACAGAACTCACACCTGCTACCAATTACTTTCAAACACTTAACGATAGCCATCCGTGCTTCTAAGCCATGTTAACATATGCTAATCTAAGGCCACACAAGAATTTCCTTCAAATACTATACTCAAATGTCACGTGATGCTGATGTGACATACATGTTGATATCTCTAATGTCCAACAACAAGATTGATCATCTATGTAGAATACTGAGGGAGCTGCAATGGTGCAGTTATGCTAGGTGGTCCATATTTCTCCGTTTTAAGTTTAAGCCAGTGTCAAGGCACAAAAATGAACGTAAAGAAGGACCGGGTCATGAAGAAGCATACCAACGGGAGTGCCATTGTTGCCGCGAAAGTTCCATTTTTAGCTAAGTCAAATATGCGTTGCCTGTCGGCCTTCAACACTTCCCCCTCTTTAGTAGTTTGGTTGTCATGTGAGAAACTTAATAAATGCGAATTGCAACAGCGCTTAAAAAGTACCTTTCCGCTTGTATACAAACTTGGCAACAATGCTGGAGAGGCAGTGGCAATAGTTTTCACAGTGGTCGATAGTGAATCAAATTTAGGCATAATATTTTGAACGCACCCCTTTAATCCGAGTTCAGGAAGTTGGCCCATGGAAATTAGATAAAAGTCCGGTCATAAATCTGATCACGGTGGTAAAATTTTAGAGATTTGGACCGTGCAAAACCCTAATCAAATAACTTCGGATTTGGCAAGGCAGGTAAATGCATGCCAACCAACTTCCCTTCCTTCCACAAGAAGTAGTAAAAGTGGGTGAGCTGGATGTTTGACTTCCTCACAAACTCTTCAAAGAAAATGGAGCGGACAAAATCTCCAATCTCGCATTGCTGAAAGATTTGTGGTTAATTTTGGGAGGAGTGGTTATCGGAGGCGAGGAGAGTATATGGACCGGAAACGCTGCTTCAAAAAAGCGAAAATCAGCTTCCACAAGCAGAGTCATGCACGATGAGCATTTGGTAGCAGCTTTGGTAGTTTTATAATGGAGCCATAAAGGAATTCTTGGTACTTAACCATTACTAACGGCTTTACATGTTCACAAATTAGAGCACAAGTCAACTGATAGTGTATCTGCTAGTTTAGGAAGGTCACATTTCTGCATGACGACTCAGAGTCGCTGATCCCAAAAGTCAGATATGATAGGGGAATGAGACCCAGCAAGTCCAGTGTTTCATTCATAATCTCCGTCTTGACTTAATAAAAAACAGTAGCATTATTTGAGTGAGTTTACATTTTCAAAATATTGCTCAAATCGAGGAGCCCCTGCAGTCTTTTGGTGTTACTGGAGATGGGTGAACTGGTCAACTCGAACGTGGCATGGTCTCATTAATAAAACGACGGGACCTTAAGTGCTACTCAAGCTCATTAGGAAGAACATTAATAAATAAACGGTATTAATATAAACAGAAATCAGTTTTGTATCAACCTAGTGCACCTGTAACAGAATTGCCTATCCACTCTTTCTTTATATTCTACCTTTCACAACTACGCGTCATCATTCAGTTGCTAATGTTACCACCCCGGCAAAGTTTCTACCAATCTACTTGCCTGTGTAACAATTATTACGGTTTCTGATGATCTAACCGAGGCGCCTGAGATGATTAGCTAGCAACAGCGATAAGGGTGAGCTTGGGGATAATTACTCGTGCGCTGATCAGTCTCCTCATATTAATGCATCCGCCTTGCGTGTAGTAATCATAATAATCCTAATAATGTTCGACAACGACACACAGCACGACCTCTACCTCCGCCCCCTTACCTGCACGTACGTAGTCGTGAGAGGACCGTAAGAGAGCAGTGGAGGCGTCTGCAACTAATTAGCTGGTATCGCGCCATCTCTCACCCTCGCCTTCTCCACCTTGCCCTCTCTCAAGAAGGGCTGGAGGAGGGGGGAAACGGTAATCGTCGCCAAGATTAATTAGGTGTGTGTGTACAAGCCTGACAACGCATTGTGCATTATGCATTGGCCACCGCTCAAAGCTGTATTGGCTGACATGGCACCCCTTCATTACAAAATTAATCAACGTGTGTATTGTGCAAATTTTGAGGGAATGTGAGCGATTAGTAGGACACTATGATCGAGCTAATCAGTTGTAAATATGTACTCTGGGTGAATGTCCCTATGCATTTGCCATGTGTGTGTTAAACATACGAGTTTACTTAGAAAACATGCACCGGTTTCAATCATTTTCGAGTCAGCTAAGAGAGTTGGCGGCTTCCGATCAACCACCGAAGAAGATATTAGTACGGGCATGTGAGAATGCCAACGCGATGTTTCAAACCATATTTCCTTATGAAGGTTTAGGGCGATTCGATCCCAAGCTCTAATTAACTGACGATCTTTGAAGTGTTAGAAGGTAGTTTGAGACTGATCACC